GGCGGGGGGGGTGTCTTGTATAAGCTCTGAAAGCTGGAAGTGAAAGAGTGCAAAAATGATCTGGCCACCTTATCCAAAAACACTACATGTTCCTTTCACTTGGGATGCACAGATACTGATACTAGTACTCGTACTCACCCAAATGCTCCGATATCTCCCTCTGACCAGCAGTGCCGAGGGAGCATGGAGACGGCTTCCTTCCCAATCAGTATGCCGGGCAGTGGGTTATGACCCGCCTCACAGCTTCCTGATTGGCTGGGAACCCGGCTTCACGAGTTGCTAAGCAGCCTGGCTTCCTAACCAATCAGGAAGCCGGTCGGAACATAATGACCCGGCTACCTCATTGGTCAGGAAGCCAGGCTGCCTAGGAACAAGTAAAGCCGGCTTCCTAGTCAATCATGAAGCCAGGAGGAGGATCGTGACATGCCGCCCGGATTCCTGATTGGCTAGGAAGCCGGCTTCACGTGTTGCTATGCAGCTTGGCTTCCAGACCAATCAGGAAACCGGACGGCACCTCATGATTCTCCGCCCCGCTTTCTGATTGGTCAGGAATCCAGGCAGCCTCTGAAGCCGGTGTTCTTTCGATAGAACACCGGCATCACAGGCAATCAGGAAGCTGGGCGACGGGTCATGATCTGCCGCCTGATAATCTGGGCACACGGCACTGGTACTCGGTATCTGTGAAAAAACAGGGACAAAAATATTGATACTCGTACTTGATACCGAGAAACCCGTATCGGTGCATCTCCACCTTTCACCATAGAAGTACATCACAACAAAATGGAGGTGACCTATAACCTGACTTCCTGTCTCATATTGTAAGTTATATCATTTATAATCTCTTTCTTTGCTCCATTTAGAGGCAGCATTGCGTGGACTGTTAGGAGCATTGACCAGCACCCCCTATTCCCCAACACAGCACCTGGAGCGAGAGCAAGCTCTTGCCAAACAGTTCGCCGAAATCCTTCACTTCACCCTCCGCTTTGATGAGCTCAAGGTACGATGGTCGTGTCCCGACTGTACTGTGTTTCCATTCACTGGTGGTTTTTTTTCCTATGGTGTTCTAAGTGTGTCTAGTTCAACAAGCAAATGGGATGCGATTGTAAAATGGCTTGGACAGTGACTCATCTGCCAGTACTCTATCCTTACAATGCCTGGATGTGGGATAACATCTACATCCATGGTTCTCAACTGGTGGGTCGTGATCCCATGTTCAGTGGGTCGCCGCATGCCTACCGGTGTACTAGGTGAGAGGCTCCTCAGCCTCCCCCATGGCACAGCACTGTCAGTTCTTGCGCTGAGCAGCCATTCGAAATATGTTGCCTGGTGCCCAACGTCAGATTGAGGTGGGCTGGGGGTATGGCATCGAGGGAGCTCCATCCATACGTGCATTGCTTACAGCTCCCTTGCGTGACATCACATTCTGGCTCCCGTAACCTCTACAGGGAGTGCAAGGATGCTGTACAAGCAATGCACATATGGATGGTGCTCCGTCGCAGCCCACACTGAACCCCTAAAACAATTTGGGGAGTGTGAATGTCAGTGAATGTGTGAGACTGTGTCTGTGGTTGTGTGTGTCTGTCGTTGTGTGTGTCTGTCAGTGTTTGATTCACAAACTACCACACAATCTCACCTACTGTTCATACTGGTGCAGGAGGTGCATTGTGTTGCCATATATTTGAATGGCACCCCAAACACACCTCCCGCCCACAGTTTGATTGCTTGCACTGGAGCATGCAGTACCACCATGCCATGCATTCCAGAGCGGGGCGACTTGGGTCGCGACTTAATGACCAAGGACAAATGTGGGTCCTGAGGTTATACAGGTTGAGAACCACTCATCTACATGGAGTATGTTCCCTATTCCTAGTTAGATGCTGTGTGACTACAGAAGCTGCTGTAAAAAAAAGGACCTTCTGGCACAGTTTTTATAAACATTCTTCAAGTGCCAGATATACAGATAGAGGTACGCAGCTTCAGTCTGTATATGTTGTCGCATAAACGCAACCTGATATGTTTCAAAACAAAACGTCATTTTTTTTCTTCTTTAATTTAGTTCCTATTCAACCCATTGTTAACCCTTGCTTTACCATGAACTGCCCTAATTAAAGTAGAACTCCGGGAATTTAAAAAACATACCCCTGCAGTGAGGCTACCCCCACACTGCAAAGGGTTAAGTGCTTGTTTTGTCTATGGGGGCCTGGGGGGCTCAAATAAATTGGATATACTCACCCGATCCTCAGTCCTGCAGCGGTCGGCACTTGCCTCACCCCCTTGTTCTCTGGCTGTGTAATGTCCCTCGGCATTCTCATGTCAATGGACCTGCATTAGACGTGATGACGTCAGCGGTCCTTAAACTAACGGAGCCCGGGGGGGACGGGACGCTGCGGTGACTGGTCTAGCAGCCCAGAGGGACTGAGGATCAGGTGAGTATATCTGCTTTATTTGAGCCCCCCTAGACAAAACTGAGCACTTACCCTTGCAGTGGGCCCTCCCCACCTCACTGCAAGGGTACGTTTTTTTAAACTCCCAGAGTTCTTCTTGAACTCCTCCTGACCTTCTCCCCTTAGCTATTATTTTCCTGCTGATTCTAGTTTTCTATTTAAACTTTTTTTCCACTTTTGTTTTGTTCATTATTAGTGTCTCATTAATAAAGTACAAAATGGAGAAAGAAGTGTGTTCAGTATGTTTTGTGCAAGATGTACAATTTTAGAATCATTTTACAAAGAACCATTTATAGAATACAATGTATACTTTTTATCTACAGTAACTAGGGATGCAGCTAACCATTATTTTTATAACCGATTAGTTGCCGATTTTTTAATTAATCGATTGGCTGTTTAACCCCCCCCCCCGTCCCAACTAATCGACGATGCAAATCGTTGCCAACTATTCTCATTATCGATTACAATCGATTAGTTGTTGCAGCCCTAACAGTAACAATAATATATATTTGTTTCCAACTAACACTCATAAAAGTAGAACGTTTTTTTAGTTTGTTTTAGTTTTGTGAGAGCTGAAGTGGTTAAAGTGTATGTATAGCCCGAGGCTTTCTTTTCTTTTTTGATAGAATAAGGTTAAAAAAAATCCCATCTTATTATTAATTTTTTTGCTGTTTAAGAGATTTCCCTTCACTTCCTGTTCCAGAGACGTAACAGAAAGCAAAAGGAAACTTTCCCAAAGTTAGAGAAATTCCCACCTGAGAGAGTTGTCACCAGGACGTTGTCCCCATTGTATGATATCCCCTCACCTCTTGCTTTGGTGACAGCTAATGGAGAAGGTGAATCTACCTGGTGGAAACAGAGCGAGCAAAAAGAAACACGAGGGTCTAACACTTCCCAAATCCAACCAAAGTAAATACAAACAAGAAACAGATTCGTCTTTTTATATTCATATCATTTTATTTCTTTACACAGCGCTTTACATACATGTACATTCCCATCGGTCCCTGCTCTCAAGGAGCTTACAATGTAACATCCCCATCTCACGTGCATATACACACTACACATTAAACACACATACACTACACACACACCACCTTCAAACACACACACTATACACACCACCTTCACACACTATACACACACCACCTTCACACACTATATACACACACCACCTTCACACACTATACACACACCACCTTCACACACACTGTTTATATATCACACACTATACACACACACCGCCTTCACACACTATACACACACACCACCTTCACACACTATGCACACACTATGCACACACTATGCACACACTATGCACACACTATGCACACACTATGCACACACTATGCACACACTATGCACACACTATGCACACACTATGCACACACTATGCACACACTATGCACACACTCAGCACATAACACTATGCACACACTATGCACACACTATGCACACACTATGCACACACTATGCACACACTATGCACACACTATGCACACACTATGCACACACTATGCACACACTATGCACACACTATGCACACACTATGCACACACTATGCACACACTATGCACACACTATGCACACACTATGCACACACTATGCACACACTATGCACACACTATGCACACACTATACACACACTATACACACACACACACTATACACATACTTTAGGACCAATTTGGACAGAAGCCAATGAACCTAATACATGTGTGAGCTTCTGTGATTGCTTCAGTGTTGTGCAATGTTCCCGGAGAGTCCTATTGCAGGCTGTGCATATAGGGAGATCTGTGCAAAGCAGAAGGGGCTTGTGGGTAAGAACGTTTGCAGATGATGATGCCTGGAGGCTGAGAGAGTCCCGTTCAAGGGTTGATGTTCCTCAGCATGGGCTATGTAATGGAAAACACTTTGTTTTGGAATGCTCAGGAATTGAGAAAACACTTGATTTATTCTGATAACGTGCTGTGTACTTTGTGACCAAGCTCTGATTGTCTCTTTCTAGATGACAAATCCTGCCATCCAGAACGACTTCAGTTATTACAGAAGAACTCTAAGTCGCATGAGGATTAACAATGTTCCAGTATGACAATTTATCAAACTATCTGATGATGGAGTATTATAATGTGATAATGAAGCTCTTTGTCTTCTTGTATACAATGTTTAAGCAGAATATTCTTGCACTTACAGCAGGGACTGTTGGGTGGTGGTTGCCATGTTTGCTGGAGATGTACTTCACATATTAAAGTACAATTAATTGCTTCTGGTTAAGATTCTAAACCTAAACCCAACCCAGTTACTATGTGATGAACAAGCTTTATAAATGAATGAAAATAATCTCCCTTTAGCGCCTCAGGTGCTGAGCGTGATTATATGCAGCAGCCTGTTCTTCTCTATGGGAGTACGTGTTGCTCTATGCTCACCCAACCTGCACGTCCGTACGGGTGCCGGTGTCCCTGCTCGGACGCAGACAGGATCCATCCTGTCAGCGTACAAGTACGGACACCCGCAAGGACGTGCAAGTAGGGTGGTGGGCCGTCCGGCGGTTCCCCTTGTGAATGAGGGCTTACCTTCCATGACTGAGCCAAATCCTCCTTCATTTGTGTCTCTCACATTCCCCACTCCGACACTGCAGCTCACAGTGGGAAGGTTTCAGCAGCAGAGGCAGTGCTTTCAATCCAGGAAACAGTAGGCAGGACTAGGTGTGGCCAGTTAATGATTGACACGCTACAGGCTGGTGAATCAGCATTGAGAATTCTGATAGCCACACCCCCTGCAACATATTCTCATCTCACGGTGGTACAATCAGGCACAACCCACATGAGTGGCGACTCAGCTCTGAATTCAGGAGCAGTGCAGCTTTGTTACCACCCCATCACAGGAAGTTGCATTAGGTGGACATTACTGGCAGGCTCAAAAAGGTATTTTTGGGACTCTGCAGGATGACTCTTAATTCCAGATGCATTTATAATTATTGAATCATATATTTTTTTAATGGGAGACCATCGTTCTACTTCAATACTTATTTTATGGAAGTTAATAAACTGGGCTCACCTCCTGCTACTCTGAATGCGGGTCATGATACAATGTAACAGTCTTGGAAATGAGAAGTAGAATCAGGTTATACCAAATCCTGTTCATTCTTTGATTGGATAGTGATAATTTCTCTTCAGCGAGGTGCTTCATTTTGTAGGGAGAGTAGCCATTCCTGCCATGGCTTCTATGTACTTCCTGTTTACTCCTGGAATTATAGTGACCCTGACAGCTAGATTACAATGACTTTTATTACACAACACCAATCCGTTCAAAACCGACCCCATAGATAATGATTTCATAACTCAGTGATGCCTTGCGACATTTTGCTGAGTCTCCATTGACACACAAGGCAGAAAGTGAGGGGAACCGCTTGTTGTGTCACCTCTCTGCTCCATAGTTCAATATTACATAAGTCCCATCACACTCCTGGCAGGATAGAACCCTCAGATGTCAGGAGGATGACGAAGTGACTACAGATGCTGAACAATGAACAAGTAATAGAAAGTCACTACCATGGTCAATAAATATTGACTGAGAATCAAGTTGGAGTGCGAGTGACTTTCCATTACTTTCCTCTCTGCTCCAGTCTCCGCATTGTACAGTTAAGTGGCATCACCTCTGTCCAGTGAATGGAAAGCTGACACAGGAAGCTAGATGTATTGGATCTATGAATTGGATGTCCAGGTGCATCCTAACACACACACTGACCCGCATCACTGTACGTTTACATGCGTTATGACATGTAAACGTGTCACGACACGTGCTGACATGCATCATAACGTTGAGACGCCTTTCCGTGCATTTCCATTTATCCATCAAGTGAATGCTCCTATGTAATAAGAAAAGAATAAGCATGCATACCGTACTTACCCATAATGTCCCACCACCTGCACTGTTGAACTCTGGCATTGAGGGAAAAGCTTGTTGAAGACTATTCTGCACACTTCTGGGTGCGTCGGATGTCCCCTGCTGTGCTCTGTGGGCCTTTACACCCGCCCTTATGTCACCTCTTGTGTCCTAAAGTAACATGTTGAAGGAACTACCAAGCTCAGCATGGGGATGCGGGCATCCGGCCTGGCATTCCAAGAAGTATTAAATAAATGTGTTTTTTTAAGCAAGATCGTCTTTTAGAGTCAGCAGAATTTGGAGACTTTTGGTTGCATTCTTAGCTTGATTTTTTTTTTACATAGGACCTGTCCCTTTAAATAATAAACGGTCCAGAAGCATCTGCATAGCCCAGGAATACTGTCATTAGGACAAGATTTTGTAAGGCATAAAATGTTGTCGCGGCTCAAAACGTTTTTTTTTTTTTTACTAATGAGAGATCTCTTTAAAGGCAGAGGGAGAAAACGAAGTAAATAACGAGCTGGCCAATAGAATGTCATTATTCTACGCAGAGGCAACGCCCATGCTGAAGACATTAAGCGATGCCACAACAAAGTTTGTATCAGAGGTAAGTGACTGCCTTCTGTGGTATGCTAAAAGCATAATGGGCCGATCCAGCATTCATCACTATAAGGCCAAGCGGGACCAGTGACCAAAACGGCATGCCGTGGGTTCCTGCCTTAAGCACCGTCTCTGTTTCTCAGAAGTTTCTATCAATTATTACACAAAGACCTTAATGCCCAAAAATAACATTATAAACTTTGGTTCTGTTTAAGCTGCTCATAGACCTTAGATCACGTGTGTCCAAACTCCGGCCCTCCAGCTGTGGTGAAACTACAAATCCCATGAAGCATCTCTCTCTGGGAGTCATGTCTGTGGCTGTGAGAATCTTGCAAAGCCTCATGGGATTCGTGGTTCCACCACAGCTGGAGGGCCGCAGTTTGGACATCACTGCCTTAGATGATCATTGGCCAAATTCAGGTTTAATAGCTTCATCGCTGATGACTTTACCAGCTGCCCATTAGGGCTCATTCACACAGCGCGAGAGTCCGTATAATGTGCTCGCCCGTAAAATGACCCAATCCTGGAAGGGACAGGTGCTGTGTGTAATTGTGCACTGCAGCCTGTTCTTCCCTATGGGAGGACGCAGCTTCACACAATTATACACGCTCACACGTACACCGGAACCTGCACATCCGTGTGGATGTGCACACCCATCTGCTATTAAATCCTGGCTGGAAAAGTTGAAGAGTCATGTGTTGTTTTTGTTTCCTTAGGCAAGGCCCAGACGATTCTACTGGTGTCTGCACCATGTAAAAACACAATTTAATTTATGTGTGCTTATGTACCGAAAAATGTGACTGTGGGATTACATCCAACTTTACAATGTTTTATCTATGTCCTCCTTTGGAGCAGGGACTGATGTGCACGGTTTACAGTGGCCCCAATACTTCTGTAATGTTCTTTATCTCCGTGTCTTCCACAGAACAAGAATTTACCTATAGAGAATACCACTGATTGTTTGAGTACCATGGCCAGCGTATGCCGAGTAATGCTGGAAACTCCGTAAGTACTTTCATGTAACACTTTGTCATTAGGTCTGGCTGGCAGTGCACGCTAGGAGTCTAAGTTCTTCATATTTGCAAGATTTTAGTTTTTCCGTGGCTAATCTAAGTGGTTGACTTGCCACCCCTTGAATTCATCTGAGGACTCTTGTCTGTTTGCTTTGCAACTGTTTCAAACACAGTGCCCATGTAAAGACACAAGAACTCAGCATAGAGAGCTCCCATTTACAGAAAGATATACAAAAATTGTTAGGTGGTTTGTTCCTCCAACATCTACTAAATTCTGAAAGATCAGTTTTACATTGGCTGCGCTCTTAACCTTCAACACAAAGTTAGCACTTCCAACCCATATTTACTTTTTTATTCCGGAAACTGTCTCTCCATCCTGGGTCAGGATCGAGACTGCAACCACCTGATCTATGAGCAAGCCAGTGAACACCGCTGCCGAAAATAATTAACTACCTCTGGGCCGACCGTAGTAAAAAAACGGCTGGCCAGGAGCTCTCTAGATCTGAGCGGGCGTCTTTAGACGTCCGCTCAGACACACCCCCTCGCGCGCGAGCGGGAAATGGCCAAGACCCCTGATGTCTCCATAAAGAGGACCTGTCACATATTTTGCTATCACGTGTATCCAAACCTCTGTCATTATCCTTAGTGGTGAGACATGTTGTTTTACATGCTGGTTTTGTGAGTGTGCCAGGATGCCTTTCTGCTGTCATAAAGAGGACCTGTCACATATTTTGCTATCACATAGGGGGGTTTCCCCAAATTTTAAGTTACACATAAAAAAGAATAACATTTTTTTTTTGTTTAAATCCCCACCCATACATACACAAACATGCGTCGGGGGCGCATACGTGCAAAAAAGACGATTGCGCCCATTACGCCGCACATGTTGGATATCGCCGCGAACGTCGGAGTTAGAGCAATAATTCTAGGGCCAACAATCACTGATAACACTAAACTGATGCTCTGTAAAAGCTTTTAAAGTGTCGCCTATGGCCAATTTTGGGTATGGTAGTTTTCTGCGATGTCGCGGGTGCGCGCAATTTTAAAGCTTGACATGTTTGGTGCCTATTTACCCGACGTGACCCCGTCTTTTATATTTTACCAAAAAACTGGGTAATAATAATAGAGGTGCACATAACCTGCATCAGCCTCGCACACCATTCTGTTACAGCCGAATCTAAGGCTATTCAGACAGACAAAAAATTTCCATGTAGCATCCTAGCTTACAGATAAGCCCCACCCCCACACATTATTATTAGCCCATAACTATGAGTGGCAGCCCCTCAGGCCAGTAGGTGGCAGGAAGGAATTGGCAGGCTTCACCACGATGAAAACAAATGCCAAAGCCTTGCCCTATGGGAGGCTGCTGCAGATATGTGCACCTCTGGGTGTTTACACGCCACTCTGGCTGCAACCAACTAATCTATTAATTGATAATAATTGATAACGAGAATAGTTGTCAGCTATTCTCATTATCGATTAGTTGGTTGGTTCCCCTAGCTCTCTGCTCCACGCTGGGAGCAGGGCACAGCAAGCAGTGGGCGGTTGCAAAATACCAGCCTGCTATTGCACCATCCCACTACCTGCTGTATTTACATTCAGCTGCCGTCTGCGGAATCTTGCCACTGGCAGCTGTCCCGGGCTGAAGCTATTCAAGCACCATGTGCTTACAATACAATTAATGAAAATAAATATAGGTGGGAAAAAACTCATTTCCGGTTTCGGCCTGACGAATTCTGCTGCAGGAGGTGTGTTGCAGTGCCATTCATTTCAGTGGCACCCCAAAAGAGCCTCCCACCCACAGTGTGATCGCCCGAACTGGAACACATCGTATCGCAGTGCCATGCTTTCCAGTGCAGTGTGATTGCAAAAAAATGTGCATGCGGTTTTATTCTGAAGTAAACTTTGTAACACTGAATTTGTGGGTTTTAAAAAAAAAAATTAAGGATAGTATTTATTCATTAAAAAAAAAAAAAAGAATCAGACAACAAATCTATTAAGAAAATAATCATTGGTTGCAGCCCTACTCCACACCAGCAGCAATTTACACCCATTCCCTCCAGTGGCTGAGCGAACTGTCCATTGATTAAATTGCATTTTTAATAGAGAAATATTCTTTTTTTGTTGCGATTGCAGAGAGTACAAGAGTCGGTTTACAAACGAGGAGACAGTGTCCTTCTGCCTGAGAGTGATGGTGGGAGTGATCATCCTCTACGACCATGTCCATCCTGTGGGAGCCTTCGCCAAAACATCAAAGATCGATGTAAGTTTGTTCTAGTTGAATATTAAACACCAGAGAGCATTCTTCCTCCCCGGGAAGTGCATTAGCACCAGCCGCCCCGTCCGCCAATTCCATTAGCCGAACACCCAGTCAGCAGGAAAGTTTGAAAGACTTTTTTCAGCGTTGGGTGACCTGATATAAAATGACAGGCTAAGCAGTTTGGATGTCTAAGCAAAGTGCAGTTTTTAGACACCTGTCTTGCACTGGGCGCATAGCGGCCGCGGCTAAAAGGCCTTTTAGGAAACGCTGAGCTGGACATAAGCTTGCCGCCATGGGAGCTGGGACAGCAGTTTTTGATGATCACGTTCATCTGCCTGATCAAAAGTCAAACCTCACCTTTTATCACACCACTGCCCATCTGCTGCCTGACCAGGAAGATCTCTGCTCCTCTTCCCTACCTTGTCTATATTGTGGATGCTTCAAAAGCTACCGTACAGCTAAGGTCTGGAAACAGCATTTCCTAAACATTACTGCCATTTTGTTTTACATTTTTGGTGCAGTTTGTTGAACATAAAAAGAATTTGTCATGCTGGGTTATGCACGAACTTGTGTATTTTTAAAAGGAACCCGCCACTGCCCATTCAGGGCACAGGGACCTGTCACTCCCATTTATACTTACCTCGCTGACCCCTGCCACTCTGTATGGAGTAGCGCCTGACCTTCTCCACTTTCTCCCAAGATGGCTGTGCTCAGGTTCAAAGTGACCCTCAGCATTGCCCTAATATTGTGGGGGGAGAAGGTCCTGACGTGGAGCTTTTACAGGGACTGGCCTTGGGGCTCAGACAGGGTGGCAGGGGAATGCAGAGGGTAAGAATCAGTGAGCGGGCTGACCTATTAAAAGAACCTGTCACTTTACACTGAACGGAGCAAAGTGACATATTCACTTTCAATTATCATAGTATTATAGAGTCCCAATTAAGAGGCCCTCAAATTTGTCCAGTTGCTGACCTCTTGCTGAAGACGTACTTATTTTCATCATACTTGATTAGCCCGGTCTTGCAACCGATTCATTCCAAAACCAATTCTTCAAATTCTTGCCCAAGCTAAATTCTAACTAGTTAATGTTAAAGAGTTGAGTATTCCAGCTTCCAACTTTCTTTTTTTAACTTTGTAAATATGATTTTCTCTCCCCCCCACTTTCCCCCCTTCCCATTTGAGAACAGGTCAGGTTGTAGTGTCCAATGATTTTGTTTATAACCTATAGAGAAACCCGAACATACATACATACATACATACATACATACATACATACATACATACATACATACATACATACATACATACATACATACATACATACATACGTACGAACGCCATGCAGGCACCATCCTGGTTTGATATTGAACCCTGGACCTTGCTATAGGTTGTAATATGAACCTGTCTGTCAGGAAGTAAATCTATAATGTTCAGGGGTAACGGGGTTAATGTTTTTGTGTCTTGTGTTTCCAGATGAAAGGCTGCATCAAGGTTCTCAAGGAACAGCCCCCCAACAGTGTAGAAGGTCTCCTTAACGCTCTCAGGTACAGTACGCTGCACTGGCTGTGATATATGTGCGCTGAGAACTCACAACCCCTCTGTTCCATGAATGAATGTCAGTAACCTGGAACTGCCTTCTGGCCTCCCTTCATGCACCGGCGTCTGTAAAGAGCAGCTCACGATAATGTATGTCCATGTGTAAATAGTAAGAGTGCCCCCACCGTGACTGCTCATCTCCTGGCGTTCGTGGGAGTCACCTGAGCCTTCCCACTGTCTCTCTTTCCCAAGACCCCCCCTCGGGTCATTGATGTAAAGCATCTGGTGTGTAAATGAGCCGGGAGGTAATGAGGCGTGATTCCACAACTGAGAGCTGACCGGAGCAGTGTGTTTATAAGTGGTAGCTTATCACAGGCTTGGTTAAACTACCAGATGCAGGAAAATAAGCCAATTACTTCTTAAAGGAAAAATCCCAATTTAGCAATAGTCCATAAAAAAAGTGTTTCTCTTAAGTACGTTTAGAAATCCAGTTTTAAAAAATATGCACTGATTGTAAAACAGAAAATACTGTAAACCGGCTTCCTCCATAGCACTTTATTATAGAGCAATGTTGTGGCACAGCAGAGGCTGCGTTCTCAGAGCCATGTGCTGTTAAAGACTCCCTGTCACCAGACCATTCACCTGAATCCTAAACAATTACATGACAAATTTCATGCATGTTATATACCTGTAAAAGCCATGCTTGTGTAGACATCCTAAAGCCCTGAGACTGCTGCTGGGTGCCGCCATCTTTGATGTGATGTCAGCAGTAACTCAAATAACACTTGATAGGAGGGATAGGCAAACCCTGGACCTCCAGCTGTGGTTCAACTACAACTCCCATTAGGTATTGTAAGAATCTGACACCCACAGGCACGACTCCCACAGGCAGGCGCATGATGGAAATTGCCGTTTGACCACAGCTGGGGTGTGCTGGAGTATGCCTACCCCGGGTTCTGTAGTATCTTCAGGGCTTTGGGGTGTCTACAACAGAGAGGCTTTTACAGGCTAATAACATGCCTAAAATTCAGTTACATCAAATCTTATGAGAAGATTGTTGAAATAAATCATTTGGCAACAGGTTTTAATCACAAGTAGGCTGACCACACATTATTCTTTGAGCCTTCTGTCATGCATCTCCCACTCTTTGAAACACAGTTCAGTTAGGGAGGTGTCATCCCTGAATGTATTTATAGTCGGGGTTAAAACTCATTTTGGCATTCATTTTCACACTCTTTAACTTTGTTGAGCACTTTGAGACAAACATCAATATGTACAGACTTCTCTGGGTCCAGTGGGAGGAAAATCCAGCTAGTATAACTACCTGAATCTGTATATCGTCAGCAGTTAAACGGCAGAAGGTAAGGAATTACCTCAGAGGAAGCCGAGGCATTATTGGTTTCCACAGCGCTGTCGTTTTAGCACTGAACAACTTACAAGAGGAGCAAGCACAAAGATGAACTCTTTAGTCTTGGAGTGTGTCCTCGACCAGAATGTGGTGCTTAATAGCATTGCAGGTCATAGACCTGGTTACCTAGTTATCCCGATGAGGTTGGCGGACCACAGGAGTAAAACAACCCGAAGACACCGGCAGCCAGGGGCACCTCACCTGGACGCACTCCTTTTTGGTGCATGCTTTAGGACCACTATTTTAAGATTTCTAAAAGGTGTCCCTGGCTGTTGCCTCTGAGTTGTATCCCTCCTGTGGTCCCCCTTCCTTATGGGCATATCGTCCACTTCCCTTGCCAAGTCTCCCTTCGTGCGTACAATATACACAAAGGAGGAAGCCATCATGATGAAACGCATCGAGAGGTAAACCACCATGGCATCATCTTTGTACAGTGAACCCACATAACGGACTTGCCATAGTCGATGATATGAGAATTGAGATTATATTATGAAGTGCCGATTGCTTACAAAATAACTTAGTAATTTACGAGATGTTCCAACGTGTGTGTGTCTCTCCTCCCACACTGCTCAGCCACCTATCACAGTCCGGCAGAGCGGTCTGTGGGCGGAGACAGACAGTGCTGTCACAGGAGGCTGAGTTCTCCGACCTGCACCGCCCCGACCTGCCCAGCCTCCTGTGACAGCGTGTCAGGAAGGAGAGCGAGTGCAAACACTCAGCGCTCAGTGAATAGACTACCGGTCTATGTTTTTGCTCATTTAAAAGTGTAACTTTTCGTTATCTTGTGTTATTGGTTTACAATGCGGTCTCTGACTTCCTCCTCCAGGTACACAACAAAACATTTGAACGACGAAACTACCTCGAAGCAAATCAAGGCAATGCTGCAATAACGGCGTTGAAACATCTTCATTTTTGTGCCAAAATCAATGAGAGAAAAAAAAAATCCTGGGAGGCAGTTTAAACGTTTTCAAAATGGCCGTTTCATTGGCAGCTATTTCTGCGTTG